AGGGGGTGGGGCAGCGTCGGGGTGGCGTTGGGTGGGATGGGTCAGAGTTGGGGTGGGGTTGGGTGGGAAGGGTCAGAGTTGGGTTGGATGGCTCAAGGTTGGGTTGGGGTTGAGTTGGAAGGGTCAAAGTTGGGTTGGAAGGGTCAAAGTTGGGTTGGGGTTGGGTTGGAAGGGTCAAAGTTGGGTTGGAAGAGTTGGAGGTGGGTTGGAAGGGTCAAAGTTGGTTTGGACAAGTCAACGTTGGGTTGGAAGTGTCAAAAGTTGGGTTGGAGTTGGGTTGGAAGGGTCAAGGTTGGGTTGGAGTTGGGTTGGAAGGGTCAAAGTTGGGTTGGAGTTGGGTTGGAAGGGTCAAGGTTGGGTTGGAGTTGGGTTGGAAGGGTCAAGGTTGGGTTGGAAGAGTTGGAGTTAGGTTGGATGGCTCAAGGTTGGGTTGGAAGGGTCAAAGTTGGGTTGGAGTTGGGTTGGAAGGGTTGGGGTTGGTTTGGATGAGTCAGCATTGGGTTGGAAGGGTCAGAGATGGGTTGGAAGAGTTGGAGTTGGATTGAAATGGTCAAAGTTGGGTTGGAGTAGGGTTGGAAGAGTCAGAGTTGGGTCGGATGGGCCAAAGTTGAGTTGGAAGAGTTGGAGTTGGGTTGGATGGCTCGAAGTTGGGTCACAGTTGGGTTGGAAGAGTCAAGGTTGGGTTTGAAGGGTTAAAGTTGGGTTTGAAGGGTCAGGGTTGAGTTGGAGTTGGGTTGGATGTGCCAACATTGGGTTGGAGTTGGGTTGGAAGGGTCAAAGTCGGGTTGGAAGTGTCAGAGTTGGTTTCTAAGAGTCAAAGTTGGGTTGGAAGGGTCGGAGTTGGGTTGAAGTTGAGTTGGAAGAGCCGAAGTTGGGTTGGAAGAGTCAAAGCTGGGTCAGAAGAGTCAAAGTTGAGTTGGAAGAGTTGGAGTTGAGTCGAACGGGGCAAAGTTGGGTCGGATGGGCCAAAGTTGTGTTGGAAGAGTTGGAGTTGGGTTGGAAGAACCAAAGTTGGGTTAGATGGGCCAAAGTTGAGTTGGAAGAGCCAAAGTTGGATTGAAGGAAAAGTTGGGTTGGAAGTGTCAGAGTTGGTTTCTAAGGGTCAAAGTTAGGTCGGATGGGCCAAAGTTGTGTTGGAAGAGTTGGAGTTGGGTTGGAAGAGTTGGAGTTGGATTGGAAGGGTCAAGTATGGGTTGGAAGGATCAAAGTTGGGTCGGAAGGGTCGGAGTTGGGTTGAAGTTGAGTTGGAAGAGCCGAAGTTGGGTTGGAAGGGTCAAAGCTGGGTCAGAAGAGTCAAAGTTGAGTTGGAAGAGTTGGAGTTGAGTCGAACGGGGCAAAGTTGGGTCGGATGGGCCAAAGTTGTGTTGGAAGAGTTGGAGTTGGGTTTGAAGAGTCAAAGTTGGGTTGGAGTTGGATTGGAAGGGTCAAAGTTGGGTTGGAAGAGTCCGAGTTGGGTTGGAAGGGTCAAAGTTGGGTTGGAAGTGTCAGAGTTGGTTTCTAAGGGTCAAAGTTAGGTCGGATGGGCCAAAGTTGTGTTGGAAGAGTTGGAGTTGGGTTGGAAGAGTTGGAGTTGGATTGGAAGGGTCAAGTATGGGTTGGAAGGATCAAAGTTGGGTCGGAAGGGTCGGAGTTGGGTTGAAGTTGAGTTGGAAGAGCCGAAGTTGGGTTGGAAGGGTCAAAGCTGGGTCAGAAGAGTCAAAGTTGAGTTGGAAGAGTTGGAGTTGAGTCGAACGGGGCAAAGTTGGGTCGGATGGGCCAAAGTTGTGTTGGAAGAGTTGGAGTTGGGTTGGAAGAACCAAAGTTGGGTTAGATGGGCCAAAGTTGAGTTGGAAGAGCCAAAGTTGGATTGAAGGAGTCAAAGTTGGGTCGGAAGAGTCGGAGTTGGGTTGGAAGAGCCAAAGTTGGATTGAAGGAGTCAAAGTTGGGTCGGAAGAGTCAAAGTTGGGTTGGAAGAGCCAAAGTTGGATTGAAGGAGTCAAAGTTGGGTCGGAAGAGTCAAAGTTGGGTTGGAAGAGCCAAAGTTGGATTCAATGAGTCAAAGTTGGGTCAGAAGAGTTGAAGTTGGTTCGGACGGACCAAAGTTAGGTTGGAAGGGTCGGAACCACTCAAAGTTGACTTGGAAGCGTCGCGTCCGTGCGTGGTGGCCCCGCCCACCGCCTGCCCCGCCCCCCAGGTGGACGTGAGCGCGGCGGTGGCGCAGGCCATGGCGGCCAAGGAGGAGGTGGAGCTGCAGCTGATGCGCAAGGCGGCCGCCATCACCTCCGAGGTCTTCACCAAGTTCTTCAAGGAGCGCGTCATGGAGATCGTCGACGCCGACGAGGTGGGGGCGGGGCCAGCCGGGAGGGCGGGGCTAAGGGGGAGGGGTGGAGATCGGGTGCGAACAAAAATGGGAGGTTTTGAGGCCAAGATGGACCAAAAATGGGAGGTTTAAGGTCAAGATGGATCAAAAATGGGAGTTTTGAGGTCTGGATGGAACAAAAATTGGAGTTTTGAGAAGTTGGACCAAAAATTGGTATTTTGGGATCAGATTGGACCGAAAATGGGAGTTTGGAGGAAAATTGGAGGTTTGAGGTCAGGTTGGACCAAAATTTGGAATTTTGGGGTATGCATGGACAAAAATGGGAGGTTTGAGGTCAAGATGGATCAAAAATGGGAGTTTTGAGGTCTGGATGGACCAAAAATTGGAATTTTGAGGTCAGGATGGCCCAAAAATTGGAATTTTGAGGTCAAGATGGACCAAAAATTGGAATTTTGAGGTCAGGATGGACCAAAAATTGGAATTTTGAGGTCAGGATGGACCAAAAATTGGAATTTTGAGGTCAGGTTGGACCAAAATTTGGAATTTTGGGGTATGCATGGACAAAAATGGGAGGTTTCAGGTCAAGATGGATCAAAAATGGGAGTTTTGAGGTGTGGATGGACCAAAAATTGGAATTTTGAGGTCAAGATGGACCAAAAATTGGAATTTTGAGGTCAAGATGGACCAAAAATTGGAATTTTGAGATCTGGATGGACCAAAAATTGGAATTTTGAAGTCTGGATGCACCAAAAATTGGGATTCTGAGGTTCCCTTAGATCACTTTTCCCAACATGGTACGAAAACAAAATCTTGGTGTCATTTTGCTCCAAAAATCGACATTTTGGTGTAAAATTGACCCAAAACTTTGCGTTTTTCGGGTCCATCTCACCCAAAAACCAACAATTCCAATCCCATCGTTTTTGGTCCAAACCCCAACGTTTCGAGGCGAACTTTGTCCCATTTTGGGGTCGGATCTCGGTGGCCGTGACCCGGGGGCGGTTCTGTGATGACGTGGTGGTGTCGTGATGACGTCACGGTGACGTCACGGTGACGTCACCCCGCAGAAGGTGCGCCACAGCAAGCTGGCCGAGGCGGTGGAGAAAGCCATCGAGGAGAAGAAATACCTGGCTGGGGCCGACCCCTCGGCCGTGGAGATGTGCTACCCGCCCATCATCCAGAGCGGGGGCAACTACAACCTCAAGTTCAGCGTGGTCAGGTACCCAAAAAAACCCAAAATCCCAGGAATTTCACCCAAAACGCAAAATCCCGAAATTTCCCCGAAAATTCACCAAAAATTCACCAAAAATCCCCAAAAAATACAGAAAAATTCCCCGCCCATCATCCAGAGCGGGGGCAACTACAACTTCACAGGTACCCAAAATCCCAGGAATTTAACCCAAAATCCAAAATCCCCTAAAACCCCAAGATCCCCCAAAATTAACCCACAATCCAAAATCCACAAAAATTACCCCAAAATCCTCCCAAAATCTGCATTTCTCACCCCATTTTTCCTGTTTTTAACCCTTTTTTCCCCGTTTTTTTCCCTGTTTTTTCCCCTTTTTTTCCATTTTTTTAAATTTTTTACCAATTTCCCCGTTTTTTGCCCCATTTTCCCAGCGCCAAGTCCCACATGCACTTCAGGGCCATCACCCCCGTTTTTCCCTCCATTTTTCCCATTTTTAACCCTTTTTTCCCCATTTTTTCCCCATTTTTTCCCCATTTTTCCCCCATTTTTTCCATTTTTTAAAATTTTTTACCAATTTCCCCGTTTTTTGCCCCATTTTCCCAGCGCCAAGTCCCACATGCACTTCAGGGCCATCACCCCCGTTTTTCCCTCCATTTTTCCCATTTTTAAATGCAGGAGCACTACGGCTTCCTGCTGGGCCTGCAGGACGTGCTGCTGCGGGAGCTACGGCACGGTGAGTGACCGCTGAGTGACCACTGAGTGACCACTGAGTGACCAGAGTGACCACTGAGTGACCCTGATTGACCACTGAGTGACCAATGAGTGACCAGAGTGACCACAGAGTGACTAGAGTGACCAGAGTGACCTGACCCTGTAACCATCCCCCAGTGACTCCTGAGCGACCACTGAGTGACCGTGACTGACCCCTGAGTGACCACTGAGTGACTAGAGTGACCAGAGTGACCTGACCCTGTAACCCTCCCCCAGTGACTCCTGAGCGACCACTGAGTGACCGTGACTGACCCCTGAGTGACCACTGAGTGACCCCAAACGACCCCTCAGTGACTCTGAGCGACTCCGAGTGACCCTTAGTGACCCCAAATGACCCTTAAATGACCCTGAGTGACCGCTGAGTGACCGCTGAGTGACCCTTGCCCCGCAGGCGCCCGTCTGTGCGACGTCTACGCCGCCGTGATGGACGTGGTCAAGAAGCAGCGGCCGGAGCTGCTGGGCAAGGTCACCAAGAATTTGGGGTGAGAAGGGGCGATTTTGGGGCTGGGGTCAGCCAGGGGTCAGCGTGGTCACTCTGGTCACTCCGGGGTCACTGTGGGGTCGCAGGTTCGCCATGGGCATCGAGTTCCGCGAGGGCTCCCTGGTCATCAACAGCAAGAACCAGCAGCGCCTCAAGAAGGGTGAGGAGGAAATTTGGGTTTTTCACCCCAAAATCC